AGTCAGTCTTGGCTTCAAAGCCCTGGCTCTTCCCAGCGAACCACAGGAAAAGAGTTCCACATCAATTATGCCAAAACCCAAGCTGTCATTTGGGGCAAAAATTCTTCAGCGTCCCAGTGGGTGAAACTTGTTTCGTAGGCCAGGCCAGCTCCTGGGGGCAGGGTGTCATTGTGTCAGTGGTCTGCACTCCAGCTCTGGGCACAGCTAAGATCAGAAGGCGGTCATCCTGGGCTGGTGGAGGGCTGCCGGCCACCTCTCGCCTACATGCTACTCCTGCAGAAGGCGGTGATTAGACGGTTGCCTTCTGGAAACACAGGACTTCAGTTCCCCCCCAAAACGTGTCCCCAGACTGCCTTATTCTCTCTGCTTTTTATCAAGGTAAATACAGAAAGCTGTCATAGGAAGGATGTATGGCAGTTTGTCAGGACTAAAGATACTATCTGTTGCTGCGTTCCCTATAGAAGGTTTCTCAGGATATGTGTCTTTGAGGAGTTCAGTGCTAGAAAAGAGGTTGCTTTTCTTAAGAAATCAGTTTGCTTTGTTTAACGGCTTGGTTAGAGAGCTTTGTATAATTTGGTTTTGCGTGGGCAGTCAGGAGACTGGGCGCCGGGGCTCTGTCTCAGTCACCACGCTCTGCTTAGGTATCCCACGGCATCTCTACACCCACGGCATCCCTTGACACCTGGTGTGTCGCGATCCCATCGTGCCCAGTTCTTTCAATGTGAGTGGTTCCCATCCTTTTTGGAAGTAGGCAAGGTGTAAATAATAGATCCACAGAACTGACATTAGAAGGCCTGTTTGCGTTCATTTCGAGGGCAGGTCTGCCGGTTGAGATTATTCCGGGCTGTTACATGAACACTCTTGCTGGCTCCAGCATGACTTTGGGGTGAGGATTTTTTCCTCCACAAGTGCTCCACAGTCATATTTTAGAAGATCAGTTTGGGCAAAAGGAAAAAAAAATGTTGACTACAAATGCTCTCTGGAGTTAAGTGAGCCGTTTGAGAAAAGTTTTCAATACTGTACTTGAAGCCTCCGTATCCAGCAGATCTAGTAAACACTCCCTTAGGAATGATGCTGCGTAGGGCATCATATAATGATTCCCCAGGTAGAACTTATTTTTATTTATGCACATCCCACCCACTTCCAGAAAGGACTGAAGTTACTACCAGGCTGAGTTAATAGCTTCCTCCTCACTACGCCCACATCAGCTCACACATTCCTCTGTTTGAGCGCTGGTTACACTACTTTGTAGTTATTCATTTATGTGACTGCTCCTCTCACTAGCTAGCAAACCCCCAGCATCTGGTAAACTCCTTAAGAAATTATACCTTTTTCATCTTTATATCTCTGCCCCATTGCCCTTCTCCCCAGAGTGTGAAATAGTACCTGGCACACAGGAGACCTGCAATAAATTCTCACTGAACGTGTGATGTGTTGTTCTCAAGTCTCTCTGCTCCTCACCTTGCAGGAATGCTGACCATAGCTCTCTACATCCAGTGAAGAATCAGGAAGGATATAGGGAGGCCCCTTCCTCAACAGAAATAGCTTTTGCATCTAACTTCAATCGCAAACCAGTACAGATAGGAAACAGCACGTGACCAGCTTGGGTATAGTCAAAGGGACCCTCAGCGAAAATGTCTGATATTTACATTACAGTTTGTGGTTTCAGCATTTTTGCATACAACAGCCTGTTTCAGTCTCATCTCAGATATATCTGAAATGGTGCCCTCTACACACACACGTACACTCATACACTCACGCACCC